GAAGTAGTGGTATACTGCACACTGCTGAATTAGTGTTATACTTCACACTGCTGAAGTTGTGTAATACTGCACACTACTGAAGTAGTGGTATACTGCACACTGCTGTAGTGGAGGTATACTGCACACTGCTGAAGTAGTGGTATACTGCACACTGCTGAAGTAGTGTTATACTGCACACTGCTGAAGTAGTGTTATACTGCACACTGCTGAAGTAGTGGTATACTGCACACTGGTGAAGTTGTGTTATACTGCACACTGCTGAATTAGTGGTATACTGCACACTGCTGAAGTAGTGGTATACTGTACACTGCTGAAGTAGTGGTATACTGCACACTATTGAAGTAGTGGTATACAGCACACTGCTGAAGTAGTGTTATACTGCACACTGCTGAAGTAGTGGTATACTGCACACTGCTGAAGTAGTGGTATACTGCAAACTGCTGAAGTAGTGTTATACTGCACACTGCTGAAGTAGTGGTATACTGCACACTGCTGAAGTAGTGGTATACTGCACACTGCTGAAGTAGTGTTATACTTCACACTGCCAAAGTAGTGGTATACTGCACACTGCCGAAGTAGTGTTATACTGCACTATGCTAAAGTTGTGTTATACTGCACACTGCTGAAGTAGTGGTATACTGCACAGTGCTGTAGTAAAGGTATACTGCACATTGCTTAAGTAGTGGTATACTGCACACTGCTGTAGTAGAGGTATACTGCACACTGCTGAAGTAGTGTTATACTGCACACTGCTGAAGTAGTGGTATACTGCACACTGCTGAATTAGTGTTATACTGCACACTGCTGAAGTTGTGTGATACTGCACACTGCTGAGGTAGTGGTATACTGCACACTGCGGTAGTGGAGGTATACTGCACACTGCTGAAGTAGTGGTATACTGCACACTGCTGAAGTTGTGTTCAACTGCACAATGCTGAAGTAGTGGTATAATGCACACTGCTGAAGTAGCTTTATACTGCACACTGCTGAAGTAGTGGTATACTGCACACTATTGAAGTAGTGGTATACAGCACACTGCTGAAGTAGTGTTATACTGCACACTGCTGAAGTAGTGGTATACTGCACACTGTTGCACTAGTGTTATTGGTGACAAGGCTGTTGTAGTGTTTTTCTGCACACTGCTGAAGTAGTGGTATACTGCACACTGCCGAAAGTAGTGGTATACTGCACACTGCCGAAGTAGTGCTGCACACTGCTGAAGTAGTGTGCTGTATAAAGGTATACTGCACACTGCTGAAGTAGTGGTATACTGCACACTGCTGAAGTAGTGGTATACTGCACACTGCTGAAGTAGTGGTATACTGCACACTGCTGAAGTAGTGGTATACTGCACACTGCTGAAGTAGTGGTATACTGCACACTGCTGAAGTTGTGTTATACTGCACACTGCTGAAGTAGTGTTATACTGCACACTGCTGAAGTAGTGTTATACTGCACACTGCTGAAGTAGTGGAAGTAGTGGCACACTATACTGCACACTGCTGAATTAGTGTTATACTGCACACTGCTGAAGTTGTGTAATACTGCACACTACTGAAGTAGTGGTATACTGCACACTGCTGTAGTGGAGGTATACTGCACACTGCTGAAGTAGTGGTATACTGCACACTGCTGAAGTAGTGTTATACTGCACACTGCTGAAGTAGTGTTATACTGCACACTGCTGAAGTAGTGGTATACTGCACACTGCCGAAGTAGTGGTATACTGCACACTGCTGAAGTAGTGGTATACTGCACACTGCTGAAGTAGTGGTATACTGCACACTATTGAAGTAGTGGTATACAGCACACTGCTGAAGTAGTGTTATACTGCACACTGCTGAAGTAGTGGTATACTGCACACTGCTGAAGTAGTGGTATACTGCAAACTGCTGAAGTAGTGTTATACTGCACACTGCTGAAGTAGTGGTATACTGCACACTGCTGAAGTAGTGGTATACTGCACACTGCTGAAGTAGTGTTATACTTCACACTGCCAAAGTAGTGGTATACTGCACACTGCCGAAGTAGTGTTATACTGCACTATGCTAAAGTTGTGTTATACTGCACACTGCTGAAGTAGTGGTATACTGCACAGTGCTGTAGTAAAGGTATACTGCACATTGCTTAAGTAGTGGTATACTGCACACTGCTGTAGTAGAGGTATACTGCACACTGCTGAAGTAGTGTTATACTGCACACTGCTGAAGTAGTGGTATACTGCACACTGCTGAATTAGTGTTATACTGCACACTGCTGAAGTTGTGTGATACTGCACACTGCTGAGGTAGTGGTATACTGCACACTGCGGTAGTGGAGGTATACTGCACACTGCTGAAGTAGTGGTATACTGCACACTGCTGAAGTTGTGTTCAACTGCACAATGCTGAAGTAGTGGTATAATGCACACTGCTGAAGTAGCTTTATACTGCACACTGCTGAAGTAGTGGTATACTGCACACTACCGAAGTAGAGGTATACTGCACACTGCTGAAGTAGTGGTATACTGCACACTGCCGAAGTAGAGGTATACTGCACACTGCCGAAGTAGTGGTATACTGCACACTGCTAAAGTAGTGTTATACTGCACACTGCCAAAGTAGTGGTATACTGCACACTGCCGAAGTAGTGTTATACTGCACTATGCTGAAGTTGTGTTATACTGCATACTGCTGAAGTTGTGTTATACTGCACACTGCTGAAGTAGTGGTATACTGCACACTGGTGAAGTTGTGTTATACTGCACACTGCTGAATTAATGGTATACTGCACACTGCTGAAGTAGTGGTATACTGCACACTGCTGAAGTAGTGGTATACTGCACACTATTGAAGTAGTGGTATACTGCACACTGCTGAAGTAGTGTTATACTGCACACTGCTGAAGTAGTGGTATACTGCACACTATTGAAGTAGTGGTATACTGCACACTGCTGAAGTTGTGTTATACTGCACACTGCTGAAGTAGTGTTATACTGCACACTGCTGAAATTGTGATGTGTTGTTATGCTTCTAATGTAGGTATTTACCGAGAGCTGACAATGTTGATAACAGATTCTTAGCTTGTATTTTACTTTGCTAAACTTAGCTGGTAATCTATAAATATTATCAAATGCGAATGCGCGAGATTTTTACTGAATTTTACACCTTTTATTATTTTGTGTTTTTCCGAAATAGTTAAATCACGTGCGTGAGAGACGTAAGAAATATCCACACCTTATATCTGTTGACGTCAAGGATTATTCTAATAAATTGTTTTGTTGAGGAGACTATTCCGGATAAATTGTCCTAATTAAGTTGCCCTTTTAGAGGAACAGTCTAATTGTAGCCTTACCGGATATCGATTTTACCGGAACTGACTCGGGAAATAAAATCTGTGTTCTATGGCTCGGATCACTTTCAGAGTTATATATATCTCCAGATTTCGGTTTTGGCTCCGTGAATTTCTTATTTATTTACAATTCAGCACTGAATAGGAAACTATGGAAATGATTACGCGACGAAAGTACTCTACCGACAAAAGTACTCAACCGAATTGATACTTATCAATGATGAGGTTCCTTAACCGAACCGTACCAATTATTCTGTCTAAAGCCGACTTTGACGTCAATTTGCAAAGTCGTTATAGAATAGAAAGTCAGTGTTGCCACAGTAATATCGGATGCCATATAGAAAAATATTGAATATGAGTTTTTTTCAGAAACTTGTTATTTTGTTAACAAAAGCGCTTGTCACAACAGTATTGAAGTCAAACATGCAGTGACATTTTCAATTATCAAATTTGTTACACTTTAAGCGATAAACACAACTGCGGCTATAGTGTTTTGTATGTGTACGTAACTTGCGATAACAGTCATTGTGATGTTCCGGAGTTCTGTCATTACGTCAGTTTTCATATTCAGATAACGCCGAGCTTGTTTTATTTTGCATGTGACTGTGCATGGTTGCTTTTCTGTAGAAACTTCTTTACTCAGATTCAGCTTAATTTAAAAAAAAAGTCATCATAGATCGACTTCTACAAAATCTACGGTGTAAAATTGGTGCTTTCTAATGTCTACTTTATCGGACAGGTGTTGAACTTTATCGCTGTGTAGCTGATGGCGATTCACCCTCTTCTGTAGTAACAACACATGACAGTGGAGTTGGTCAATCAACCTATTGTAGCGGGTTGTTAATAGGGCTGGAGTTAACATACCTACAGTAACACCTCATAGTAGTCGGCCTAGAACTGCAGGATAGCAATACATGTATCACCTGTTGATCCATACCACTATTTGGTAAAACCTGATCAATATTAACGACAAATTGTACTGTTTAGTTTTCCACAATTCCAAAGAAAATCGATAGGTAGGCTTATTTCAATGATAATCGGAATTTATAGGTAACTTTCCGTATTGTTTTTTTGCATGCAGCTTGTTGCCTCGAAAGCCATGTTAAGTGTTTCCCGTTCCAAACAACGGCAGTCGTCAGTGACTTGGTTTTGCTGTCCTCATACATACGTCACAGTGTCCTGATGTTTCAGCTATGACGTAACGAAGATGCTTGATTTGTGGACCTTATGACGTCATGCCCACCTTTGTGTCGTGTATTTTGTGTCCGTATCCCACTTTGACGTTTTTGTCAGTGACGTTATGTCTGTGACGTCATCTGACATCTAAGTACTGTATGTGAATCCATCCAGTCGCCACCTGTAATTCCCCGCGCTTCCTATTGTCTCTCTGTAACAGTAATCCACGTGCCGGTCTGTGAGTAATTCTACGCTATTTTGCTTGATTTGACCTTTCAACTTCTTATGACATTGACCTTGTGACCTTTGACTTCTTTGCGGGACAACAAAAGAACAGACTTCAAGTGATGAATTCTATGAAAACATTTTGAACATTTTCCCTTTTTTCTCTTAAATATTTTCGTCACTTTTTTTCTTCTTTTTTTTATATATCCACGAAAGTTTTTCGATTCACACATTCATACTAATTACATTAAAATGTTTGTAAATCACAGCTCGGGGTCCGGGCAGGGTCGAGACAGTGATGCTGGACATTTAAGTTTATCATCCTCGCGAGGAGCTGCGCTACGACAGCAAGAAAAACGCAAACGTGACTCGGTAGGAAGTAGCGAGAAATCCACACCTAAAGACTCCGCTACTACTCGTAAGCTACGGGAGGGCAGTAGTAGACAGGAGGTAAAAATAGCACCCAACCCTGTTACCACAACCGCTGCACTTCCAGTTTATCCGCTAGGCGTTTCAAACACTACCTTTGAGAATGTATCCTCGCTAGCTCAACCCACAGTAACTATGGGAGTTCCGGGGGAGGTAGAACTACAACACTCTCAGCCACAGTTTAACGCACGTTATTATTCTACGGAGCTGAATGGATCTACACCGGATTTTAATGGAATTATTCGAAGCAAACAAGTTATGAAACGGGTAATTTTAAACGTGGGTGGGGTGAAACATGAGGTGATGTGGCGGACACTGGACCGTATGCCCCATACCCGACTGGGCAAGTTACGGTCCTGTAATACCCCAGAAAGTCTCCTGGAAATATGTGACGACTACTCTTTGGCAGAAAACGAGTACTTTTTCGATCGACACCCCAGATCTTTTGCTTCCATTTTAAACTTCTACCGTACGGGTAAACTTCATTTAGTGGAAGAAATGTGTGTGTTATCCTTCAGTGAAGACTTGGAGTATTGGGGAGTTGACGAATTGTATCTAGAGTCGTGTTGTCAACATAAATACCACCAGAAAAAGGAGCATGTTTATGAGGAAATTCGAAAGGAGGCTGAAAGTCTTCGCCAAAGGGACGAGGAGGACTTTGGTACGGGGTCTCTGGCTAAATGGCGTCAGAAAATATGGGATTTATTAGAAAAACCAACCACGTCTATGGCTGCAAGGGTAAGTATGATTTTGATTAAAAATTGTTGCATTCATATTTTTTTCTTATTGTTTTTTGCACAATTTACATGTAAAATTAGTTTTAATATGGCGCATTAATGGCCGAAAAGCTCGTGGAAAACGTATTTGTAAGGAGTGACGAAAAAGCTGCGGAGAACAGTGTGGTAAGTGTACGTATGCACACTACCCATTGCTTTTTACCAGCTGGTGCTCATCTGCATGCAATATAATACAATGATATTCTGCACGTGCATTTCCGAATCGGGTGTTCTTGAGGAGACTTGTATTAATATCCACTCGCTCGTCTTATCCACGCGCGTGCTTAGAATTACCGCTGATGTTGTAAAGCATCTACAACAATATAAATTTGCTCTAAATTTATTCAAAACAATGAGGTGTGATATTTTACCATTTCTGTAATGTTTACATACGGTTGAACGAGGAGTTTGAATAAAAATGTCTGTACATGTAGATATAATAGATTCTCACGTTGTTTACGTAGAGATGTGTGTCCGATGTGAGTTAATGTAGATAGACTGTAACGAGATACCCCTACACAACTATTGTCGATCTATATCATTAGCCGATAGCGACATGCACCGCTTGACGTTAAGCATGTGTACCGTTGGTGATACGTATCCCATACAAACAAGCGCCGTTCCCTAGAGCTACGTAGAGTACCCCTCCACGGGAAACATTCCACCACTCATAAACTCATATTGAAGCGTTTATTATGATGCCTGTATAATGTTGGTTACGGAGACAGGCGTCTATAGACCAAAGTTTGGGATGGAATATTTCTGATATTAACAAGCGATCAACATTCAGATTCATGCAATTTTAATGAAATTGATTCGTTCACTGAATAGGGGGTGGGGGGGGGGATTGGATGAAACTCGACGCCCTTGACTGTTCCGGCGATAGTTGAACAGTTAATAGAGTTCTCACCTTGACATACAGGTATATGTGCGTGTACGTACGTTCATTCAATCAATGTTTAACAGGTACGGTAATCGTGAAATGATGACGGCCTATTTAATTAAATTGGCTGATAACTTTAGTTCACGTTAAAGCAGCCATTTATCTAACTACAGTATTCTGCATGGTTAGAGCTATTTACATGAGCCCTACTGCACCTGCAGGACAGCTATGTTCAAGGTTCTTTATGGTAAGAAACATTTACATGAAATCCTGCTGTACGTGTAGGACATCATTGCACAAGGTCAGATTTACACCATCCTTTACGTCTGTTATTATACAGGGTTGTTTCCAAACAAATTATCAGTAAGAACGCTACAGTTTTACGGAAGCTCTTAGCATGGAATACACATTATTCATGTTTTCAAAACAATTGTATACAAAGGCATTTTAACGAGGCGTTTAGGTATCTAGACATGTGTCATGGCATAGAGCTTGTTATTAATACCACTGTGCCGGCAGTAGTAACAGCTGTGTGCGCGTGCGTGGGCGTGAGTTACTTTTCAGTATAGAATGTTATCTGATGGATGATATAAATTCATTTGATTCAATTTCGACTGCTGAACGCGCGCGCTGTTAGTATTTGTTTATCGGTAAACAGGGTTAAGTGAACTAATTACGACAACCTTCATCTCCTGTCCGTGTAATATCTGGATGGACATCAGCTAATTGGATGATTTAGTTTCCATATGTGGGCTTACAGAGAATCGGGAAATCGATTGCGAACACTATATAATAGCTAACAATTACATGTTGCATACTGTACAGAGAATTTTCCCGCCGTGGAACTGATGTAGGTCGTCTGCTTGTTGACCTTCGTAGTGTGAAGGCTTGTCTCTCCTAGCTGTCATCTTCCCATACTATTTCATAGTACCAGTCATAGACCACAATCACGATGGTGGACAAACTTCAAAACACATCTCAATCAAATTCATCATATTTTTCCTTTGGCTAAATCCGTACACATTTTCACTTAAGTTTCTGTAAAATTCCTTCTGTAAACTGAGGGAATTGTTCAAAGGTTTCAATTTTCCATGATTGATACATAACTATCTAAATTCCGTTTTACTACACTGAATTTACATAAGACAAGGAAAATTTGTATCGATTTGTACAACAGCTGCTGGCTCCTTCACCGACTGGTGATCTGTGTAGATACGGTTGTGATAAAACGTGCTTAACTGTAGCCTAATATCATTACTATAAAATGACACCTATGTGTAGTTTGTCACATCACCACCAGTAAAATGACACTAATGTGTAGTTTGTCACATCTCCACCAGTAAAATGACACCTATGTGTAGTTTGTAATATCAACACCAGTAAAATGACACGAATGTGTAGTTTGTCATATCTCCACCAGTAAAATGACACTTATGTGTAGTTTGTAATATCAACACCAGTAAAATGACACGAATGTGTAGTTTGTCATATCTCCACCAGTAAAATGACACCTATGTGTAGTTTGTAATATCAACACCAGTAAAATGACACCTATGTGTAGTTTGTCACATCTCCACCAGTAAAATGACACCTATGTGTAGTTTGTCACATCACCACCAGTAAAATGACACCTATGTGTAGTTTGTCACATCTCCACCAGTAAAATGACACCTATGTGTAGTTTGCCACATCTCCACCAGTAAAATGACACCTATGTGTAGTTTGTCACATCACCAGCAGTGAAATGACACCTATGTGTAGTTTGTCACATCTCCACCAGTAAAATGACACTAATGTGTAGTTTGTAATATCGCCACCAAAAAAATGACACTAATGTGTAGTTTGTCACATCTCCAACAGTAAAATGACACTAATGTGTTGTGTGTAATATCACCGCCAGTAAAGTGACACTAATTTGTTGTTTGTAATATCATCACCAGTAAAATGACACTAATGTTCAGTTTGTAATATCAACACCAGTAAAATGACATTAATGTGTAGATAGTAATATCAACACCAGTTAAATGACACCTATGTGTAGTTTTTGACATCACCACCAGTAAAATGACACTGATGTGTTGTTTGTAATATCAACACCAGTAAAATGACACCTATGTGTAGTTAGTAATATCACGACCAGTAAAATGACACTAATGTGTAGTTTGTCACATCTCCAACAATAAAATGACACTAATGTGTTGTTTGTAATATCAACACCAGTAAAATGACACTAATGTGTAGTTTTTGACATCACCACCAGTAAAATGACACTGATGTGTTGTTTGTAATATCAACACCAGTAAAATGACACTAATGTGTAGTTAGTAATATCACCACCAATAAAATGACACTAATGTGTAGTTAGTAATATCACCACCAATAAAATGACACTAATGTGTAGTTTGTCACATCTCCAACAGTAAAATGACACTAATGTGTTGTTTGTAATATCAACACCAGTAAAATTACACTAATGTGTAGTTAGTAAAATCACGACCAGTAAAATGACACTAATGTGTAGTTTGTCACATCTCCACCAATAAAATGACACTAATGTGTTGTTTGTAATATCAACACCAGTAAAATGACACTAATGTGTAGTTTTTGACATCACCAGTAAAATGACACTAATGTGAAGTTTGTAATATCACCACCAGTAAAATGACATTAATGTTCAGTTTGTAATATCACCACCAGTAAAATGACATTAACGTGTAGTTTGTAATATCACCAGCAGTAAAATGACACTAATGTGTTGTTTGTAATATCAACACCAGTAAAATGACACTAATGTGTTGTTTGTCACATCTCCACCAGTAAAATGACACCTATGTGTAGTTTGTCACATCACCAGCAGTAAAATGACACCTATGTGTAGTTTGTCACATCTCCACCAGTAAAATGACACCTATGTGTAGTTTGTCACATCTCCACCAGTAAAATGACACTGATGTGTTGTGTGTAATATCACCACCAGTAAAATGACACTAATTTGTTGTTTGTAATATCACCACCAGTAAAATGACACTGATGTTCAGTTTTTGTAATATCAACACCAGTAAAATTACACTAATGTGTAGTTAGTAATATCACCACCAGTAAAATGACACTAATGTGTAGTTTGTAATATCACCACCAGTAAAATGACACCTATGTGTAGTTTGTCACATCTCCACCAGCAAAATGACACTAATGTGTAGTTTTTGACATCACCACCAGTACAATGACACTAATGTGTAGTTTTTGACATCACCACCAGTAAAATGACACTGATGTGTAGTTTGTAATATCAACACCAGTAAAATGACACTAATGTGTAGTTAGTAATATCACCACCAGTAAAATGACACTAATGTGTAGTTTGTCAAATCTCCAACAGTAAAATGACACTAATGTGTTGTTTGTAATATCAACACCAGTAAAATGACACTAATGTGTAGTAAGTAATATCACGACCAGTAAAATGACACTAATGTGTTGTTTGTAATATCAACACCAGTAAAATGACACTAATGTGAAGTTTGTAATATCACCACCAGTAAAATGACATTAACGTGTAGTTTGTAATATCACCACCAGTAAAATGACACTAATGTGTTGTGTGTAATATCACCACCAGTAAAATGACACCTATGTGTAGTTTGTCACATCTCCACCAGTAAAATGACACTAATGTGTAGTTTTTGACATCACCACCAGTAAAATGACACTAATGTGTAGTTTTTGACATCACCACCAGTAAAATGACACTAATGTGTAGTTTGTCTCATTAACACTAGTAATATCACCACCAGTAAAATGACACCTATGTGTAGTTTGTCACATCTCCACCAGTAAAATGACACTAATGTGTAGTTTTTGACATCACCACCAGTAAAATGACACTAATGTGTAGTTTGTCTCATTACCACTTGTAATATCACCACCGATTAATGTTTGAGATGAATATCGGTACGTTAAGTTATGAAATGTTGAAATTTCAGTTACAGATAACCCTAAATAGACTGATTCACTAGCTTGTATATAAAGCCTTCTTTACTTTAAATTGTCTCACCAATCTGGATCAATGGAAACAGAAA